ACATGGTTTTTTCCTTTGGTCTTTTTTTTTTAAAACACATATTTACCAATGAAACAGTAGTGATGACATGTGAGATACCTCCATGAATGAGAATCCACCAACAGTCTCATGATGGTGAGAAGGTATACAGCCTGGCCTGCTATTTTTACCTCGGACAGTGACATATAATGGCAAGAAGGCATGGCTTCCCATTGTGTTGCCAACCTGCCATGGGGAGGGACAAGTTCTCTTAAAGTCAGGATGACCACACTTCCATCCCGATTGGTTGGGACAGACTGGGTCTACACCTGTTGTCAGGGGTATTACCAAGAGTAGCTGCTTTCTCAGTTGAAAGTGTGAATAGTGTGAATAATGAGTTGTATCTCAGCCTACTTAATGCTCTATTGTCGTTCTCACATCTATTTGTCTTAGCACATTTTTAGCTTGTGCCATCAGTTTGGGACAATGAGTTCAGGAAGATTACTTTCCATTGTGTAGAGTAACACTTACCCTTTTTCATCCTGAAATGATCCTTCAAGCATTATGAATTGGTTCTAGCTCTAATGCTGAGGCTTGATGAATGAACTTATTTTCATGCTCTCACAGGTTTTTGTCTGTCCATACCAGCTCTTTGTCCACCCAGACAGAAGGGCTTAATTTCAGAGCTTATTCCCAGAGACTTTCCTCTTCTGATCATTAGTTTTCCTTGTTAATCAGGCTGCATTAGTGTTGGGAGGAGACTTGTCTAGATGTTTGATAACTGATTGCACAATGGCTTGTCCTTTCAGGCAAAAGACCTGAAAGGAAGATCTGGAAGGGCAGGGTTTTCCAGCTGTATTATAATTTTTTTTGAATTAAAGACTTTTTACCACAAAGAGAATGAAAGGCAGAGACCCTTGCTTAGGAGGTCCATAGTGAGTCCTCTGTTGATATTTGCAGAAATAAGAAAGATAGAAGGAAAAGAAAACAAAGAAAAAGGAAGAAAAAGAGAACCATGTACATAATTAAGATGATACATTACACATTCAAAACCTTATCTGCAGGTAAAAGAACTTTGTTGTATTATACCCTAACCCTGAACCCAAATGACCAAACATTGTAAGTGACTTTTAAAAAGCTCCCTAAAAGGGTACATGTGGGTAGAAATGGTGATTTCTTCCTAAGAACAGAAATTTTATACGAAGAAAGTCCTCAAGAGTAGTAGAAGAAAAAAAAAGAACATTTTGTAATAGAATTTCTCACTCTTGTACTTTGTACTTATGATTAAGAAGACAGAGTTCATTAGAATAAGATGTTCAAGTGCCTTCCATGTTCAAGGTGTTTTGTTGGACACTGAAGGAAGAAGAGCTGGATCTGATTTCAGCACCTGCTATTTCACACATTACAATTTGTTTTTCTGTGTAACAGCTAGACAATACAGTGAATTATAGCCCTCCTGCTGAATTTTAATTTTTTTCTATTTTTCCTCACATTAATAGTCATGAAATTCAAGTGCTTCCTTATCTTACCATTGCAAGAGCTTTCAAGTATTTGGGAAGCCCAGTGTTTTAAGAAAATTATAATTCATTGGGGAACTAAATGCAACATGACATATACATTTATTGTTTATGCTAATTGGGCCCCAATTTGGAATTGGAATTTCTTTTGGAATTGCTGAGTATTTGGTCAGAAGCTGGGCTAAAGTTCAACTTTATTTCAGCTTTGATCAAGGAGCTTACTAAATAAAATTAAACAATACTTTAAAGAGTTAAATTTTCAGGAAAACTCTTTAAAACCATGAGTCACATTTTTTCTTTTTTTAAATTCATTTATTCATATGTGCGTACACTGTTTGGGCCATTTCTCCTCCATGCCCCCTGCCCCCTCCCTTTCCCCCCTACCCTTATTTATGTTAAGAAAATGTCATTCTAACTATCAAAGCAGATCATGATGGATCTTGATTTAAGAGCATTTTATAGAGTACTTTTTAAAGCACTTGGTGTGCAACTGTTCCTCTTCTTCCCGAAAACTAAATATTTTTCTTTAAGAAATATTTTAACTATATAACTCAGACACAGTCGTCATGGATCACTTAATTTTTTTTTTTTGGTGGTACCAGGGTTTGAACTCAGGGCCTTGCACTTGCTAGGCAGGCAATCTACCACCTGTACTATACCTCCAGCCCTTAATTTTGAAGAGCTGATTGCAAACACATGACAAGAAATGATGTAAATGTTTATGCAATTTACTGTAGGTACTTAAAGGGGTACAGGGTGAACGTAGGTTGGGGGAATGATTTAAGGTTTTCTGTAAGTTCTGAGCAGGAATGTGGGCAGTCTCTACTTTACAAATGTTCTACTCTGGCTTATCCTTAGGTCTGCTGTTGTACCAAGGGCAGCAACATAGAACTTTTTTATGAGAAAAAGTTTCTCAAGGGTAAAGTTATATTTTCCTATATGAGCTTTCAATATTTTGCTACATGAGTTATAGCCCCAGAACTTCTTTAGTACCCTAATAAATAATTAATTTCACAAATTACAAATGTGTTTAATTTGGCTTTTTTGAAACTATAGTTCTGAGACCCACTGTGCCCTTCCTAATTTGGAAATATTTTCTCTCTGGATTTTATTTTGATGTGTACCCAGCTATCTGCTTTCGATGCTATTTCTAGCATCCCAAGGGACCTGCTTCCAAGGTTGTCATAGTGCAGATAAACACACAAGAAACCCAAGAACCTGGTGCTTTCATAAAGCATTTATTTTTATTTGAAAACATTATACAGGCATTACATTTTGCCACAGCCAGTCCATAGGGGAGCATGCAAATATCAAAATTGGACAGTTTGTTCAACTTATCGGTGTAAATTTCTTTTTTGGTTCATATTTTCCATCTGTAGTGTCAGGATTAGTGTGCTTTGTTATGTGGCTTAACAACAGAATCCTACCATGGGGTAAAATCTGTACTGATAGCTAGCTGGGGACTACTAAATGGTTACAAATCAAAAATAAACCCCAAACAAACAATACTACAGGCTTGTCAAAAGGTTAATAGCACAAGTTAGCAATATCTAAACTAAACATTGAAACATTTTCATGGGACACAGTGGTGCAAATTTTCCATTGCTTGGTCTACCTGGATGTGTGTTTCAGAGTTTGAAGCTGTGGGAGGGTATGACCAAGGCAAGCACTGTCCCCCGTGCAAGTGTTCACTTATATCTGGTGAGGTTTAGGAAGAGCTGTGGTTTGCTCTTGATCAAGTTTTATACAAATTGCTAAAGTCTCATTCCATGAAGAGAGAGTGGTGGTGGATTGAAAAGCTCAAATTCTTGCTGGTGTCTACTAAGGTTATGAAATCTCAGAAACTAAAACCGCTGGAGTTAATAGTGCCCACTCCCATTTCCCACCCGCTCCCAAAGGATCAATGTGTTTATACAGAAAAAGCATTTTCCTTTGTTACTTTTTGTGTGTTTTTATTTCTTTAAGGGTCAGTCTGGAACTCCTGATCTTGGACAATTCAATGTTTCCAGCCTTTCTAAATGGAGACAAACCAACACAGTGAGGTAATCAGTGACATGAAAGTCTGGTGACAAGCATAGTGAATGATAAAGGGTTTGCAGTGAGTTCATCTTGACATTCACACTTGGTTTCCATACAATGGAGTCAATTAAAACATCCTATAAAATAATTCACATGGCAACTTTTAGCCATCAATTGATTGCAAACCTTTTGGAATTAAAATTTTACAAAATTCCCAGTCCACTGGGTGGACTTGGAAATAGTTTCAGCTACTTGCTTCTCATTACTAAGTGTCTACGAATTAGTGTCATAAAAATGAATCAAAAAGACGAAAACATTTGGTTTAAAATAAATACTAAAAATTGCAATAAATCAAGCAAATTATGCAAACCAAAGGAATGTAAACACAAAAATAAAACCACAGTCTTTAAAGGTCTTCAGATCTGAATGGACAAAATATTCAGAGAAAGGTATTTAACTGGTTTAGAAGGCAGCAGAAAGCAGATGTTGGCAAGGTTGTTTTGATGTGATCTACCTTTAACATTGACCTCTTCCCCCCTCCCATACACGCACATAAAATGAAACATTATTTCTGAGGAGAAATCTGCATTATCAGAGATCGGTTTTCTTCCCCTCTCCTAGGGCAGTACCACCCATCCTTTGTAGAAGGCAGGCAGATGGTATGGGCTACCTTTGCTTGCCATATTTAGGTCTTGTTCAAGCCTTGCTCTGTGATCTGTCCTCTGTAGAGACGTCACTGGTGTTTTGCCTTGATTTCTTGCTTAAGGTATATGGATTGGAATTGCCCAAAGTTTCACAACTATTTATACGAACCCTGTAACACTATCAAGGATTTTTTTGAATGGTATTGAAGTCAGTCAAACTTAAAGAGGGCTTTACATACTGACACCTAAAATCTATTCTAAATTTTAGAGATCTGTGGTGCTTCTTAATTGGTATGTATGGGGGGGAAGGGACTTTTTTTCTTTTTAAGGGCAATAGATTAGATTAGTGACATATCAAAGTCTTATCAAGACTCTGCAATTTTCTCTGTATCTGTTTGAATGCTGTGTTAATATATTCTACTACTGGATGGATACCTTTTGTGACCAAAATGCCAAACTTTTCAGTGATAACATCTTTAACACTACCAAGTGACTAGAGCATTTGAGCTGTTCTCAGAAACTGTTCCACACCAGCACCTTGACTTTAGGAGGTGGTATAACCACTGACACTCTACAATAAAGATAATTTCCGTGCTGGCATATTTCAAAAAGAGGGCAGAGGACCACCATAGCTTTTCTGGTGCCTTGAGTAATTTCCATATTATCAGTAAGAAAACCTAGAAAAAAAATTTAAAAATAATTTTTAAGGAGAGGCTAGAGGGAGGGGCATGAAAAGTTTTTAAAAAACATATATAACCATAAATGCAAATGATAGTATTTCTGGGGTTCCATGAGCCACAGAAATGAAACAGTCCTTATCCTGTAATTATAGGGACTTGATTAGCAGAGTCACATGGCACAAAAGAAAGGCAATGGCCTAGAGTGATCAGAGATTGAAATATAAAAAAATTTCAAATGTTTGTTTTATATCTATTCCTAGAATAGAGAATTATATGGTCAGTTGCCCCTCCCCACAAGGGTCACAGCACAAAATACTTATTGAGCAGGCAATCCAACAGGTAACAGAGGAAACCATCAGCCACCAAGTCCCTAGGATGAGGAAACTTCTCAGAGGTGGAGCTCTTGTGGCATGTATTATTCATATAGTCTGTGCAAAAAAAATAAAGTATGATCCTTAAAAAGTGACTTGCCATAGAAAAGTGGGATTAATGCTGACTACATGTGGGTCTGGCAATAGTTCCTGTCAGGAGTACAAAACCTCCCCCTGAAAGTCAGTGTAATAACAGTAACAACAATAATACAAATCATAATAACAATACTACTTGCTTTTGATTGAAAAATTTTCACAGTAACTAATGCAGAGGGGTCGGGATCAGGACACACCCTAGCTAGGCATCTCTCCAAGTAAGGTGAGTTGGAGCCTGTGTCTCCAGTGATCTTTAGCTTGTTCCTTTTACAAGTTTTCCGAGGATCTGCTACCTGGCAGTCCACCTGTGTTAACTGCACCCAGTAAATACCTTTCTCTATGTACAATACAGAGGTGATGGGCAAACACATGGCCCCTGAGCTGTCCTCAGTGGGCAGGATGGGCCTCATCCTAGGCCACACGCACATGAGGCTCCTCTTCGGTCTCCTGGCCCAGGCTGGTGTAGGTGACTGAAGGCTCCAGCTGAGCTGTGGTTGGTAAGTCCACAACAGGTCCTGAAGGATTGCGGAACTGCTTATACACTCGGGGGTCCTGTGCTATGTACGTGGAGGTGGAGGAGTAGAGCACCAGCCCGATGAGGATGGTGAAGAAAGACAGGAGATAAAGTCCTGAAAACTAAAAAGCACAACAGCAAAATGATTGAGCAACTGGAGCAGAGCCACTGACACATTACCGAGACTCAGGGAGGCAGGTGGAGTTGCCTCCTGTTGAAACAGGCAGTTTGATGAGTTGGCTAATATTCTTGATGGAAAGTGAATTTTCTCTTCCTCAACTAGCTTGGTCTTATTGATTCCCCTTATCTTTTTTCTAGGCCCCGTGGCTAACAAGAGGAACACTTAGCTAATTGCTAATTGTCCCTAATGCCAATCTGAGTACTTAATATGTTTGGAGGGCTAGTTAAGCACAAATTAAAATATATCTAGCTACAAAAATCTCCAACATTACTCTGTAAAGAGTTGGTTGTCTATGGCCTCATTAAACTCAGAAGAAATACAGATATTCTATTTAAGGTTGTAATGAAGCCATAAACAATGAAGCTCTCGGTGATAGCTGCAGCTGGATACTGTTCTTTCACCTTAATCCAATGCAGACACTATTTGTCTTCCCAGTAGGAAGTGGTATTGACTTTGGTAACTATCTTTGCAAGATTAGATTAGCCTTGGACAGAAAAAATAGCATAACATTCCATTCCTGCCCCACTCATCTAAAAGCAAACCAAACAGGGAAGAATATGCATCATTCTTCTTCCTAAATTGCTTGACAATTCAGAGGGAGTGTGTATGTGTATTGGATAAGGATAGCTATTGATTTACATGAGACCCAAGAATTACAACTTTTGGGCATTCCTGAGTAGCTACACTGGAAGTAATTACCAGGGGTAATTACCAGTTTACCAAGGTAAAATTCAGTGTTTCCATTTCTCTTGTTTCACTAATTCATTCACTTCACTCAAGAAATAGTTTCTTGAAAAGCCTTCTCTGTATTGAACATTGAACTATGTACTGGCAAAGAAAAATGAAAAACACAGTTGGTCCTTGCCATCAAAGAGTTAGTAGTCTCAATGGAGAAACACAGTACAGATAGAAACAATACCATGTACTCAAGAAATGCCAAATCTCATTTCAGTCAATAGCTATCATTCCAGTCTTGACCACATCCTGCATCTATGGGAAATAGGGGATCAATTTTATTTTCTTATTCTATTTTTTATGTTCACACTCTAGAAGAACAACTAGCAAAAAGAAGACAAAAATTCATGGGAAACCCTGAGATCCTATAAGGTTGCATAGCTCTAATAAAAAGTTAGAAAAGCTGGTTATAATTGGTAGTTCAAGAATAGGAAAGGCAGTCTTGAAAATGACACACAGAAAAGGCATCCTTGTGGCTAAAAGTCCTTGACACAGTGTTTTTTCCCTGATCGTTTTCTGTCTGAAACAGCAAGGTAGCTAAGACTAAAGGTGATTTTCTAATTTTCTTTCTAAAGCACTCCTCATCTTGTCCTCTCCCCACACCATTCCTTTATTTTTCACAAACCATATAATAATTCCTCAGTTGGATTTACTACACAGCTTGTAAGGTATTTACTTAATTAGCTTGCAATGCTGCAGTTACTTTTCCCCAACAGAAATAAATGTGCCTTGTTCTTTGATTCATGAATTTGTTAAATAAAATGGGAGGGAAAGAAGGGCTCCAACTTTGTACTGTTGTATAAGATCTCAGAAAACCCATTTAATCCTAAATTTGCTTCCTGAAATTCTACACTCAAGAGTTTCTTCAGTTCTTCAGTTTACACTTTAGTGCACGAAATGGATTTATTTTAATTTTTATACCATGTAAGATATTTTGTTAGTGATCCTCACTTTTGAAACTCCATTCACATATTTACTTTCAAGCAAAGAACCTTGCAGGGTCTTAGGTGTGAGCCCACCTCTCTTGCTGCAGTTGGAAATAATGCGATTAAGAATGAGGGAACTTGCAGTTACCACTTGCCTTCTAACCACCAAACTGGATTCAAATCCTAGCTCTTATCCTCACTAGCTATACTTCAGATTCATGCTTCCTCATCAATCAAGTACACCAACTATGTAGAGTGGTTATATAAATTAGATAAAGCATGTGAAGTAGTTATATTGTCCTTCTTGCAGCAAACATTCAATTCATACTAGAATAATTGTTGTTATTGTTTCAGTACCACTTAAAAGGATCAACCCTTTTTGGACATGGAATCATAAGACTGCATGATAATCCATCACAAAGTGTTTTCTTGGGACACAGCTTCAGAATGATAGTTCATAGTGTATTTCCAATTTATTTCTGTTTAATTCACACAAACTAACTCCAAAATTGTTCAAAAGATAGATAGCATGGAATTTTATATGACAGAGGCATTTTGAAAGTCATCCAAAAAGTTTTATTAATTTATAGTAGAGAGAATTTTCATTTCCCCAAAAAAGGAGCAGTTAGGCAAGCATTATAATTAATCAGGATAAATACTGAGTATTATAAATGGTGACAGAAAGGTTTGGCTTATTTTTTAAAAGTAAGAAAAGATTTCATTTCCCCCTTCTTTTTTAATGAGGGGTAACTAATAGAATAATACCCAATTGTGGATGCTGCACTTACCTTGCAGAGCATCCACTTCAAACTCCAATCAAACAAGACTTTTGTGCAGTCAAGACTACTTAGCTTATTAATTGCAGAGAAATACTTATTTCTCACTCCCTAAGCCAAGAGAACAGGAGGTTCTCTAGAGTACTCAATGAGGACTGAAAGCTCCCTCTGTCTTTCAGATGAGCAAGTTTCAGTCAGAGGTTTGTGGTCTCTGCTGAGGAAAAGGACTGTTGTCTGAGAGTCTCTGTGGTCATAGAAAGGACATGCCCAGTATTTACCCTGCCACTCTGCAGTTAGCTTTGCTGCTGTCATTTCCCATCTTCATGGGTCTTTGTGACATTCCCATGATGAGAATCCCTGTGTGTTGCTTAGAGAAAGTTGACTGAGACACATGCCACTATACAGAATGGGATGGATTTGGAGCCTGTACAAAATCCTTTAACGTCCAATCAGGGGTTAAGCCTAGCTCTTAGACAGTTGGCATATCAGTGTGATTGCTATTTAGTTAATGTGGCATTCAGCATATCATTAAGGACAGACCAAATTTTCATCTTATTTCTGGCATTAAACATCAAGTTGAATTTTAATAAACTTATGACTTCAATGAACTAAAACCTATCAAGTAGAAAGATCACATGGTTTGAAAGTCATTTCAAAGTAGATTTATAAATATATCAGCTACAATATGTGAGGAAGGAGCAATTTTTCAAGGGCAGCTTTCTTTTCTCTTGCTTGATTAGTTCGACAGCAGAGGTCAGCAGAGGAAAACAAGGGTAGTCGCAGACAGGCATAAGATAAACTAGGAAGAGACCCTGATTTAAGTTCTACTTTTACTGAGTGTGTACACTAGTGACTTGATTTGTTGGGCTTGTTTTTTATTTCTTTCCTGGGAAGTGTTCCTTAGAAGAGATTCTTTAGGACATATGCTTCTGTGTAATACAGTTTCCTGATGTCAGACTTGGATCATTTTGCTAAATATCTCTGCTTATTCTTATTAATGATGAGAACTAATTGTAATTTAGTGTGTAATGGAAACTTAAATACTTTTATCTCTTAAAGCAATGTATGACAATTTCTATATCCAAAAAAGATTTAATTGAAAAACAAAATATTATTCATGCAAGGCAGAAGGACTGGAAAAGAGTAGCCAGTGAGATTTCCTAGAAAAGGGGGTTACAGGGGAGTGAAACTTGGGGTGAAGCTCCCAATGTTATATGAGAAAAAAGGAGAGATCTAAATTTCACTTGGAGAGCCAAGAAAGCTCAGAAGTAATGAAGTGTGAAAGAGGGAGAAAATCAGGCCAAATTAGATAAGAAAAAGTTACAGCAAAGAAAACTCAATAGTAAGAAGGAAAGGGGACTGCAGAACTGGATAAACACAAAATGTTATTTTTGTTTAATTATGCCAGTTTTTGTTCTGTCTGTCTCTCTCTTAACACACACACACACACACACACACACACACACACACACACACACACACAGAGCCTGTATGACCCTATTGCTGACCTATTGTGATTTGTCTTCTGAACTTGCATTCTAATAATGGACATTTATTTCTCTTATGATTTTTTTTATGATGGTGGAGATCAAACCCAGGACCTTGCACATGCTAGGCAAGTGCTCTACCACTGAACTGCATCCCCAGCCCGCATTTAGTTTTCTTGAGAGAAACTGATTCAACACTACCCTGTTTGGCTTCTCATGTGCCACAGATATATGAAGAGCAATACCTTCCAGCCCACAGGTGTTTCCCAGATCATCTATTGATACGCAGAAGAAGAAAATACAAACTACCTCACATAATGGCTCGAGGGTGATATTATCTACTTTTGCTGGCCTGCTGTTGAAAGAGGCATAGCATTTGGAAACATGATAATGCTGACACTTGAAACTTGTTTCAGAGCCGCATAAGGAGGCTACACAGAAATGAAATCAAGGACATTTCTAAGTGTTCTTAGATATGGCTTTTGATGCTGAAATATTTTGCTTATTCCATGGATATAGGCCATAATGTTTACTTTCTAGTTATTATTCAGTTTATTCTTTTAAAAAGATACTAATCTAACTAAGCCTTCCCATATTTTTAATTCTTTGGCCAAAAACATCTTTGAGGGCACAGTATGGGAATCTGCAGTTAACAGATGCTTCAAAAATCAGTGCAACCATGGGTCAGTAGAACAGCAAATGGCAGTGACTGGTCATTTTCAAGGTTATGTGGCATCAGCTGATAAATGTGGACTCAAGAGCTTCTGGGAAGAATTTCCATGCAAGGAAATTGACCAGGCGTTTATGCCTAGAAAACATTAAATTTTTAAATTAAGCTTGTGAGAACTGTCCTGAGTACTCTTTGCAAAATAAAACAAAGTGTCCCTTATTTTCCTATACTTCCCTACTGTGTAATATAAAATGCACATATAAGATTAAGTCAACTGGCACACTGAACAGTGATTTATAGATCAAAAAAAGAATAAATAAACCCAATTCTGTTTAAAATGGAAGCAA